CTACGTGATTAATGAGCCTTACCAAATCAGGTCTGTTCCTGTGGCTTCATGTGTGACTTCACATACAAGAGAAGTGACCGTGTGTGGACAGTCATTCAGAAGGTGCCACACGCTGGCCCTTAGGTCACCAGGAAATTCTCATCCCACAATTTGATCTTAAAATATTTGATCTGTAAGAGCCCACTACTGTAACAACCTTTATATCATGGAAACAAAATAGCAGGGGCCCCCATGCATGTGTCTAGAGAGAAGCCACCATTGTTCCTTTGCAGGAGATGGAATCGGATGGCTTTGTGACCTCACTCCTGCTCTGCTCTCAGGTCTCATCTCATGACACTGCCCACCCTTCTCATTCCTTTCAAGCTTCTCAGAGTGCCTTCTCTCTCCTGTCTTGACCTTTGCCCATGTTGTTCCATCTTCCTGAAAGTTCTTCCTCCAATCTCCTCGTCAGGCTAACCCACCCATCTCCGTTCATCCAGGAAGCTGCTCTCCCCCCCCCACCCCCACAAGCTGCTGCCTGACAACTTGAATCAGCCCCAAACTTTTTAGTGTCTGAGAATAGCATCCATCACTGTCATTTTCTGCTGAATCTTTGCAGTATCCGGTACATGACGTGCTCTGTATTTCTTGAATAGAGTGAACAAACAAAAAACGAAGGCCAGTGGCATAATGAAGCTCAAAGTCAAGAACTCCAAATGACAAAGGCAAGTGTTTTTTGTTAACCATCTAAATACTGTGCACTCTCTAATTCCTCCCCTACATAAGAAAGGAATGGAAATAAATATATTTACTAGGTGCCTCCCAGATTGAAAGGTCCACAGTTCTCTTCACCTGAAGAAGACAAGGACTTAATCACTACTTTTTTTCTGCTACAGGTATCTAGTAAAGCTATCTAGCCTACAGGCGGTGAATGTGCTGATTTAAGCATTGTTTCTGACCTCCTGTTCTTGTCTTTCTCCATTAATCCCGCTGCATTTTAATGTTTTAATTCAACACATAATTTTGCCATATCAGTCACCCAAACCTGCTCAAGTTTCACTTGCCATGATAGCTTTTAACCTCTTATTCATTACCATAATTCCCTGTTTTATTTTACAGACTGGCCAGCTTTTAACTTAAATGCGAGGGGCAGAAAAGAGTGCTGTAGTTTTAAAAGCTGTAAATCTTGGAGGCGAAGGAAGGGGCTGAACACGAAGAAAACGGTGAATGTGTCAAGCCAGGTTGTAAAAGCAGATCGACGACACACGGTGCAATTTGTCCAGAGAAATATCCCAGCCCCACTCCTCCACCACATCAGAGTCGCTAATAAACTGGGAGAATGTCAGAGCCCCTTTCCAGGGCACCATGTGGGACTGCAGGTTGATTCTGTGGTAGCCCAGTTAAAATGGACTCGAACTTTCTCATTAGTAACTTTTCAAAACCAAAGCCTAGAATATTCTATAACGAGTTAATCTCTAAAATCACTTTGAAATGTAAAATAGACTTTAAGAAAACAATACAATTGTTTTGAAATGGCCCAGGTTTACAAGGGGATACTCTATATTTATACTCTTGCCCTTCTGTTTAAAAGTTGGAGCAGGTTCAACTTAGCTTTATTTCTTACTCCCCCGAAAAGTTCACTGTCTCTGGACCATTGTTGGATTTTAAAATCAGAGACTGGGTTTTTTTGGTAATTTTTCTGTTTTTGTTTTCATTTGGTTTTGCTCATGAATAAACCCTAGAGTTCGTAGGCACTATGGTCCAGGGGACGCTGGATCTGGGGACCAGCCTTGACCCCCTTGGGAATAACTTGTGGCTCAGTGGAAGACAACAGGGGAACCATGACACAAGGGGATTTCAGAAAGCTCCATGTGACTCAGGAGGCACATATCCAGACACCCCTTTGGGGAAGAGCATGCCACCAGTTGAGACCTTGGTTCATCATCACCATCACCAAGCTAGCACCCCACCAATGCCAATGCTGCTCTCAATCCTCAGTCAACAAATGTCCTTTGCATCATGTCCTTGAAGATATTCACTGCCAACTTCTGCAAAAAATTTCAAAAAATGTCTATACTGTTTTGAAAAATATACATATATGCAATATATATACAAAATATATATATATGTATATATACACACACTGAATTTTACCAGCCATATTTCTTTTTCTTAAATTGCGTAATTTTAGTTGCAAATGTTGTGGGGGTCTACAGCTGTCATACAGAACAATCTCAAAATTAATAGTAATAATAATATCTAGCATTTAAGTGCTGATAAAAGACCTAGGTATCACATAGACACTGTTGCTGACCAGACCCCACTGCATGGAAAGAAAGCCCAATTTCACAAGCAAATCCATTGCCTGAGGTCACACAGCTAGCAAACTGGTTCAGCAGGCCATGAATGTGGGACTCCAAGCTGGTGCTCCTTTCCTCATGTCAATCTGCCTGCAAAGGGAAGCTTCACTGATGAGAATTTCTTCAGAGAGGCCATGTAGGGCTTTAAATGACTAGCATCAAGGTGTTCTCCAAAAACAATAATATGCAACATGTCTTAGGAGGCAATTGTGACTCATGCACACTGTCGGAGAGTTTCCTCACGCAAAAAGGTATTTCCCAACCACGGGTGGATAAAATAACCAAGCCTTAATACAACAACAAAGAAAATGAAATGAGGAGAAAATAAGTGAGAAATTTGAAGTGGGAAGGAACAGTATGTAACAGGTCGGTGAGTTTCAGCATATGCTGACACCACCTCATCTTTAACTCTGAGAAGCAGTATATATTTTTAGGGTAGGTTTCACCCCACTGCAGGGTAATGCTGTGTAGCCAGCTCCCAAGAGATGCTTTTGTTATCTTTTGTACCTCAGGAGAGGAAAAAGGAAAAGGATACCAAAAAGATCCTTTAAAATCCATGAAGAGGAAGGACATCATGACCCCCTAGGACAGGTACACGTCTAAGTTACAAACAGGAAATAACTAAAATAAATGCATACTCCGATGACAACACATGGAAGAAAAGGGACATCTTAAATTATTTTTTGTGGCTGAGAAGAAACTTACACTCATCTGGAAAAGCATTTCCTATGATGTGAAGGAAACAGGACAGCACAGTGATGTGTGAAATGGGAAGGGTATTATTCTTTGCACCTCCTAAAATAACACATTGGCCATTCATCACTGGAAGCCCAAATCCCCACCACTCAGATAACGCTTTGGGACACAGAGTTCTCTGCGTTTGTGCATTTCCTACACACTAACTGGGGAAAGCAACAGGTATCAGGTGGGTAAGAGCCAGATTCACTAAACATCCTGCAACATGCCAGACAGTCCCACGGAACATGGTGCCTCCGTGGAAAAACACGGCAGGAATGTTCCATGGGTACCAAACACCCCGCTTAGTATCCCAGGAGAGCTGCTGGTGAGGGATGGGATGATGACGGCAAGAAGAGCTAATAGTCTGTGTGCCAGACACTGTGCTCAGTATTTCACCCAGAAAAAGCAGTGCACGAAGTACTGGGATAGCTGGGTCTCGCCCCATTTCTGCCTATAAGTTCCCTGCTGATGGAAAAACATTCACTACTCTGGACCTCTGCATTCCCTCGTCAGTGAATCCAAGAGTTTCTATTAGAGGAGTCATTTTCAATTTTCAGCTTTCGGCAATAAGACGTTCCCTCAATTAGAACCCCAATATAGAAGAGAAGTAAAAGTTGAGATGCCCTGGCCTCAGGATAGTTTTAGAACCCCCCCCTTTTTCTCCAAATGGTGAGCCCCAGGCATCTCTCTGAATCCAGGGTTCCAGAGACTCTGGTTTGGAAAAGATGACAAACAGCTGTTGAGAGCCCTTTGAATGCTTGTATCCTAGATTTAAGATTTGGATACAAATTGTATGTATACGGGATGAACAAAAGGCAGTGGTTTTTTGGAAAGAAACTGGGTCTTGGAAAACACAGAATCCTAGCCCTGGCATTCACTGCTCTGAAGTCCATGGCCAAGTGAATTGTAAGCCTCTTGCACTCTATTCCCTCCTCCACAGGAAAGGAATAATGCTACTAACTTGCAGGGCTATTTGTAAGATGAGAGATGATCTTTCCACCACCATTTCCATGGTACTTCCCAAGGGCCAGCCATGGTGCAGGCACAATCTCACTTAATGGTATTGCTACAATAAGGAACCTATAATATTCATGGTATTGCTCGTTACGTATGGGTAAGCCCCTCAATTAAGTTGGGAGGGTGCAGAGTAAAGAAATGAAAGGAAATAGATCTCGCCTCAATAGATTTCGTTATGGTTTGCCACAAAGCTCATCAAGGACACTGAAAATTTTCCCACCATTTTGAGACACATAGCTTCATCTTCTTACTAAATTATATGGTATTTTACTAAGTAGCAAAACTAAAATTATAGGGTACACTGGAAATTTACACAGTTGGTTATTGAACAGTGCAGGGGTCAGAGGTGCTAATGCCCCAGCACAGTCCAAAACCTGTGCGGAACTTCTCACTCCCCCAAAACTCAACTACTATATAGCCCTCTTCTGTTGATCAGAAGCCCTACTGATAATATAAACAGTTCACACATATTATGTAGGTTATCTGTATTCTCACAATAAAGTTCGCTAGGGAAAAGAAACTGTTACTTTAAAAAAAAATCATAAGGAAGAGAAAATACATTTACAGTATTGTACTGTATTTATTGGGGGAAAAAACTGCATATAAGTGGACTGACCTGTGCATAAACATTTCCCAAATAGCCTGAGATGGCACAATAACTTTTTTTAAAGAATTCCCGACACATACTATTTTCTTCTGTCTTAATTAATATGAAATGACATTTACCAGTTAAAACAAAACAAGATTTTTCCCCAGGTTAGGGTCCAGCTTACTTATGGCTGCTGGGGTGGGGATGTGAGGTTTTACTCTAAGCCCAAACAGATCATGACATTCTCTCTGACCAGCCTCATGCAGAAACAAGCTCCACACACATCTCCCACAAGTTAGAAAGCAGAGCAGACTCACGTGCCCAGACGCTCCTCGTGCTTTCTGCTGTCCTTTCCCCACACTTCAATGTCCAAAATGCCCATCCTGTCAGAGAAGTAGTGAAAGTCAAACTGTTCCCGCCACTGCGGATTTGCACTCTTACACAGTGTCTAGAAAACATGCAGTTATAGTATTTATTTTCTTAAAATGCCATTCATTGCTATAGCAGCTACAGACATTCATTTCATTTCTACACGGCAGGAGATCGTGACGATGTGCCTCTCCCTTAGAAAGTTAAACTTTCCGTTTTGGAACGAAAAGGGACTTTGAGATTTCGGGAATTGGCAAACCATCACTACCCGTTTAGCTCACCCGCAGATTCAAGAATTTATCCAGCCCATTAGCAAGAGTGACCCCACCAGAATTATCCCACAAGGAACCATAAATTATATATATATTATAGACATATGAAACATATCTCAATAGACAGTTACAGTTGCTCTCTCTTACAAAAGATACTCCTCATTGGTTAATCGAATGCAAGTAAGTAACAGTTTTATTAGCACATCCATTCAGTGCTGGCTTAAGAATTATATAAATTAGCAGGCTGAGATGTTCATTCACATCTGTCCGATGCACTGCATGAAAAACCCGTCACTGGGACACTGCTGCCTGTTTTTAAAATCTGAGTTTACTGAATCCAGTCACTGGAGCGAGAGAAAGACGGAGCAGCCTCACTATAGCCACACCAAAAAAAGTAAACAGCCTGGTTTGAAAACTTCACAAGTGTTTCTGTGTTCTCCCAGTGACTGCAAACAGCTTATGTGTCTGATCTGTTAGCAGCATTTTTTGCTTTTGTTTCATTTACCCAGAGACTGAATTTGTGAATAAAATGGAGCAAGAATGCTGGGCACGGACTATCATGCTCTAGAAGCACTGAGTCAACTATTAAATCCGAGCGCCAAACTATTCCTGCAAGGGAAAACAGGGACAACTCAGACGTCGGCTGTAGCCAACATCATGTACTATCATTTAAGCTCTTTCTCACACTGAGCTTAATATATCAGATCACAGAATTTAGAAACCACGGGGAAAAAATATTTGACCACAAATTAAATGTGATATTCCCTAAGGGGGACTGTAGCAAATACTGGACTAATTCTGCACTCCACCTTAGTCCAAAGGGCAAAGTGTACTTAGCAATGAATAATTTTTCTATAAATCCTTAGCCTGACCCTGGGCTGGCTAAAGGAATCTTAGTGGAGAGATGTGTTCACCCTGGATACATTCGCTGTCAGGTACAGCCTGAAACTACCTGATTAAAATAATCATATTTCTAATTCTGCTGTAACTCACCCAGAATTTTTCACATTTCTCAAAAATGATTCTCCAGTGTGAGCTTCAATTCTTTACTCCTTGTGGTGGAGTAAGTGATGTTTAATGTTTGATTTTGCACTGAAGAGCATGCAACAGAGAAACCTCTTGCTCCCTAAATCACTTCCCAACTGCACTGGTCTGCATGTGTCATGTCCTCTACACTGTAAAGTCCAAATTGCAAATATCCTCGGGTCTATTTTCAAAATCTTCCACCAATGTTTTGTTTTGTTTGTTTGTTTGTTTCTACATGGCTTTTGGCAAGTGACAACTTTCAAGTACCCTAGTTCCCCCAATCCATAAAACCTAGGAAATATTCCTGTCTGACAGTTATGCAAAATGAATTATCATGATTTGGAGACTATGGTTTTTGAAATAAAAACCACATCAAATTACTAAGATTAAAAATTAAGTGGAATTTGTTTCAGGAAAGTAAGGTGATTGAGTTTTAAAGGCAGCTAAAAATGCCATTACTTTTGTTCAAAACAAATCACTAATACTTCAGTTTAAAAAAAAAATCACAACAACCAGCATCAAATGTCTATTTTTCGTGTTAATACTAACAAGTAAGAGAAAGCAAATAGTATATGATTTTGAAAATATTTTCCGTTATCTCGACTGTTTTCACCCAAATATATTACACGATTTTATTTTTGTAGGATTTTGAAAATATTTAATTATACCTTTCCTGCAATCTTTGAAACAATGTTTGCTTATTTTCAAAACAAAAATAAATCATGCATCCAAATCTCTTATTTAATAAGCTTTCTCTTGCTCCAGTTACTATATTAAAATAAATTATGCTAAGCAAGCCAATAGGTATATTAATTGACTGCAGCTATACAATTATTTTGTTGTCTGGAATGCTCCTAATAAAGTTACGAGGGCTAAAAATAAATTTCTCCTCTTCTTGTGAAATTCAGAGTGGAAAACATTTTTTTTCAGTTCCTTTATTATGAAAGATCTTGTACTTCTTAAGGAATTGACAGAACTTACCTTACTTTTATACCTCTGATCTCCCAGTTTTAACTGGACAAACATCTCTGTCATGCTTCCTCCTGAGACATTCTTCCCTTCCAACAACGTTATACTTATAATCCCGTTCCAAAGTTGGTTCTTTCTCAAGGACTCTGAGAGCCGCAGGTTACGTATCAAAGAGGACTAAAGCAAAGAATGAAGATGACATATAAACTTGCTGAGAATTCTTGAGTGTGACTTTGGTGATCACAGGAATTCCAGCTTTCAATATGGGATTATGAATAGCACTCCCTGACTGGTGAAAGTGTTATTAAGTCTTCATTGATTTTGCAAACCTGCAAGCACAGTTATGTGATTTCCTTCTCGAGCACCAGACTTGTAACAATATAGTGAAGGATGATTGGGAGCAACACTTGGATTTCGCACTGGCCTATACTCCCACCCAGATGTGCTCCTTGGTAGGAATTCTGCATCAGGGCCTTCAGCTATTTTAATAGTAGGAAGGGAAGAAGGGAATTCTGGGAAATAGAGAGAGAAGAACAAGGCACTGCTTTGCAGGGAAACAAAATTCCTCCGGGTATTTAGAAATAATGGTTTTGAATTTATCCTTCACACTTGAATCTGTCCACACTTCCCTGTATTCCTTGAGCTACTACTAAAAAACCCAACACCACTGTGAGATTCACAACTCCAGATCCAGCCTGCCATCAGCTAGCCAGCCAAATGAGCTTTGCAGATCTGCAGGGAGGGGAAGGATGTAGAAAGCCCTTAGCACGGTGCCTGGGATCCAGTAGAGATTCAGTAACTGTTAACTTACTTTTTTTTCCTTTTCTAAATTATGTTACTCATGCACACTCACACACACCTTAAACAGAATATAGAAAAAAGCAAACATCCCCTATTATTAAATTATAAAGAGGACAAGCACACTCTATTTTTAATTTCCATTATGTAAATTTTCAAACATACACAAAGGCAGAGAGAATGGTATATAAATCTCCACGTACTTATTCATCTGATTCAACATTTTGCCAATCTGATCTCATGTATCCCTTCACTATTTTTCTCTGGCTGAAATATTTGAAAGCAAAAATCCGTATTTGGTTTTCCATAAGCACCATGCCATGATCACACTCCACAAAAGTAACCATAATTCCCTTAATATCATTAAATACCCAGCACATATCCACATTTCCCTGAAGGGTCTCAACCATGTCTTTTTTTTACGGTTAGTCTGTCTGAATGAGGATCCCCACATGATCCACACGCTGCATTTAGTTGGCGGAGTTCATTTACGTTCGCCGCTCAATAACAAGAAACAGTACAAGCATACACTGCTTTATTTGAAGGGGAAATAAATGGACTGAAGAATGTAAATGGCATCAAGTACCACAGTAAAGCAATGAATTTCTAACACTATATATTCATTCCTGTCGTCTACTCAATATATCTTCGAGATCATTCAGACACCAATTTGCTCGGACACCAGTTAGTCACAATTTATCACAACAAATGGTATGTCAGTATCATATTAATTATATACCAGCTTACCTCATCCAACACATGTCACTCCACCACTTTTAAAAATGATGCAGGAGTACCACACCAAGCATTTGGTTGGTCATTCTGTGACTGCCTTAAACAAAACACATTTAAGGAAATCTACACTCTCAAACCTCACATCTGTGTTGCTTTTCTCTTAAAATGCAGGCGCGTGTGTGTGTGTGCGTGCATGCACACACACGAGTTTTGGAGGTGCTGAGAGAGTAGGGAGGGTGCGTGAGATTTTAAAAAGAAAAAAAAAAAAATCCCACTCCTCTGGAGAACATGGACAATCCTTTCTTAACTTCTGTTTCCAGTTCGTTTGTGGATAGAATATATTCAATAATGAAGCTTTATGAAATAATTAAAGTTAAGCAATTTCATGTTTATTAAAGAACACAGCATATAAATAGACGCATATATAAACATATATGCATATGTGTTTATAAATCTATATGTAAGCATATAGATCTGGATACACTGAATACATTTTATAGTTTATTAGGTACACGGGCTGAAAACTTCTACCTCTAAAAGAAAAATGAGATTTGGATTCATATATCCTGCTATAATTCCTTTTTTTTAATTTTTTTCTTTTTAAAGTTTGACTTGCCAACCAACAAGCTAAGGCATGACCTGTCCCATGACCATGCTTCAAAGCTCCGACAGATATATTCCTCCCTAAACACTGCAACTATTTCAAAATCCTTTTTATAAAGAAGGGAGTAATGTCCACAAGGGATCAAAGGGCATCCTACAGTCTGGCAATTGCCTAAGAAAAATGGCAGTGCTTCCATGAAATATGCCCTAAAATAATTTTGTGGCTTGGTATGTCCTAATTTCAAATTGGATGTTTATCTTGGAAAGGCTTCTATCTAACTTGTCCATAAAACAGCCCCACTTAGCTCTATGAGCTCTGTGAAAATGGAATCCAAAGCTGGTTATTAAGGGGGCCGAGAGATAGGTTCCATATGGCGGAACAGCATGGGAGGGCAAGGCTAAGGCCTACATCAGGCGCGGCTTGGCTGGAGCTCCTGATCTATCCACGGACACTCGTTGCATTACACCATAACATCTGGATTATTGCTTGTAATGTCCCTGGGAAATATCCACTTTCCATCAAAGCCTTTATCTATCTCAGTCGGACTTTGAACATTTTAGTATTTAACGCAGTCATGTTTGATGTGACGGACTTGGTCTTTGCCGTCCAAGATTTTTTTTTTTCCTCCTTACTAAAGGCAGGGTAGGAAAAGTGAACTATTTACTTCAGAGTTCACAGATAGAAAAAGAACACAGGGCCTTTATTCTCCTTGTTTTACCCTCAATCTTTCTGCAAAACCCACTACAAGGTTATGTCCAAATAAAATTTTGTCTATGAGCAACATATTCTGGGGTGTGTGTATGTGTGCTCTGAAGAAGTGTCTTAATTACTTTAACATTTATTTGTCTTCAGCCTTGAGACAAGTGATGAGGCTTAAGAGCAGAGTCAGTGGGGAGGGGCAGGTATGGTAGGGGCCATCCTCTGTGAGCTCTGATTCAGAGCTGGGCTCCCCAAATCTTTTGTGCTCTTCAAACGATCCCTTTCTCCCCACAATAAATCCACTCTTCTGCACTCACTCTGCTAACTCCATAGCTCAGGTTTTCATGTCTGTGCCTGAGCCTCTAAGTGAAATTTGTCATCTTAATGCAGCTTGGAATGTGAAAGCAGAGAAGGAAATGACCCATCAAAGGAGAAGCCCACCCCACCTGAGCTGAAACAAACACCAGGAGATAGAGCAAAGTTTCTGGGTCCTGACCCTAATTTCTCAGCCGACATAAAGGATAAAATATAGTACATCAGGGTTTTGTTATTTTTCTCCTTCCTCCCAAAGGATCAGAACCTTTCACTGTTTCTATGTTGTTTCATTCATAGGCTCTCTTTCTTCCTCATCCCCCACCCCACCAAATCCACGCCCTTTCTCTGAACAGAAATCATGACTTCCATCTGAAGCACACACGTTAGTTATTACCAGTAAATACGAGGTATGATATTTAACTTAGAAACATACTGACTTCCATGGGGTGCCTGGGTGGCTCAGCTGGTTAAGCGACTGCCTTCGGCTCAGGTCATGATCCTGGAGTCCCTGGATCGAGTCCCGCATCGGGCTCCCTGCTCGGCGGGGAGTCTGCTTCTCCCTCTGACCCTCCCCCTCTCATGCTCTCTCTCTCTCTCTCATTCTAACACTTAAAAAAATAATAAATAAAAAATAAAAAGAGTCTGACTCTTGGCTCAGGTCATGGTTTGGTCTCAGGGTTGTGGGATCTAGTCCCACCTCAGGCTCTATGCTCAGCAGGGAGTCATCTGTCTGCTTGAGATTCTCTCTCTCCCTCTGCCCCTCCCCCCACACAATCTTTCTCTCTAAAATAAATAAATCTTAAAAAAAGAAAAGAAAAAAGGAAAAAACCATACTGACTTTCAGAAAAATGAAAAGCTTCAGAAACAATTTACTTCTGGGTCATGACAATCTCAGGGACAAGGAAGGAAGGGTAAAAAGAGAACAAAGCTCGGCGCCTGGGTGGCTCAGTTGGTTAAGCGACTGCCTTCGGCTCAGGTCATGATCCTGGAGTCCTGGGATCGAGCCCCCCATCGGGCTCCCTGCTCAGCAGGGAGTCTGCTTCTCCCTCTGGCCCTCCCCCCTCTCATGCTCTATTTCATTCTCTCTCTCAAATAAACAAAATAAAATCTTAAAAAAGAGAGAGAGCAAAGCTGAAGGTAAGAACTGTGGAGAATCTTCACAAGTTTGTGATCTAGGCACAGACTCTCAAAACAGTGAACGACTATCATTCCTGGGACATATAAAATGGATTACGGCTTGGCCACATGCCTTATTGTAGGATTCCGGCCAAGTGGCATGCTGGGGAGACGGTGATGTGGACTCCAGTCTCTTGGCACGATGCGGAAGAAAACCCAGAAATGACACACATGTCAGCAAGGTGCTTCCTCTCTGTTGTGGGCCAGGAAGAATGGCAGAGGGGTTAGGAGTAAAGAAAGATCTTGAAAGGAGTAGGATGCAGTTCAGGAGCTGGGGCCACAGCCTAAAGTCATCAAAAGCAATCATCAAAAGTCATCTAGGCCACACTCCAGAACAGACCATGCTGACCAATACCATAGGACGATTATCCAAAGCCCTCCCTTGGGTGGGACAAAATACCAACCAAATTTTTAAAAGATAGAAATGAAAGAGAGGAGCAGCAGGAAAATATGTTCACAAGATTTTTCTAGGAAGGAATACTTACTAGGTGCCAAATACTGTGTGGGTACTTTCTCTATGATCTCAGTTACAGGAATATGAAAATAGGGATTCTAATGCCACCAACGTGTCCTATTTTGACTCTCATGAGTTAGTTTTCCTAGGTCTTTGTGAGAAAGGAGGTGTCAGTGGAAACAAATGCATGGAAAAAAATTAACTAACTTTGTAAGCTAAATGAACAACAAAACAAGATTCAACTCTGTTGGTGTTGCTTAGAAAAGCTAAGAGAGAACATTCAGTCTATAAAAGGTTTCCCTGAAATACTCCAAGCTTTTTTTTTTTTTTCACATGTAAAACAACTGTTCATTGTCAACAGCTTTTATAGCATGACATGAGAAGATCCATACATTC